TATAAACAGAACTATGTTATGATGCCAGCCTTTTAAAAGTTACTTCTATTTCACTGTTGCTGCACATTTGCTATATGCAGACATATTTATAAACCGGCCTTTTTCAAACCAGTCCTCTGGTGGACATAGAACACTCCATAAGTGAAGTGGGGTAGAGGATATATCATTCTAACTCCAAAGCAAACAAACTATGTTAGGGTTTAATTTGATGCATGAACCAGGCCACTGAATCATCAGGTGCTCTACCACAATTTGAAATTCACTAATATCTGGTTAACTGATTTATTCCATATTTGAGATTCCACTATATCCTTATCAAGAGGTACTAATTCCCAACACTTGAATGAAGAGCCCCCCCAGCATTCAACACTTTGGCAGGGTTCTGACACTGTAGCATGCCAGGATGTTTAAACTACAGCCTGTTGAATAACCTACAGTGGCCTGATTCACACATAACACGAAGCCATGATGGGTAGATCCACATATCACAGTATAATAAAACTGAAACAGTATGTTATGGTTTAGCATAATTTATGAACCTATTGTTTTGTTCTCAAGCACCCATCATATTACCTCGTAGCCTTTCACATTGTCACCTACAGCTTCTACAATTCCAGAGCATTCAAATCCAGGTATAAGTGGTGTTTTGGGTGGATTATCAATGTTCCCCTGGCGAACCATCAGATCAATAAAATTTAAGCCACTGTAAAGAAAGAAAATGAGAAAGGAAGATATGAAGACATGCATCCCACGGTAGATGATACAGACAACCAAAGTGATATTGAAATAAACTACCATGCTGTTTGATAGCTGCAAACCCAAAATGCTCTTTATCAGATTTCTTTGCATTTCCTCCCCTAGCTGAATTCACTGTTCATGTTTTGGGATACAGAAAGTATTAGTAGAACTCCATAACTGTAGCACCATGCAAAGACAAACTCAAACATAACACATTTTAGTATAGTTTGAACCTGAACAGTGTGGACTAGCTCTACTCAATCCGTCATCCCAGTTTACTACTCTGTGTCACCTGTGATGAAAAAAAAGCTTCTCAACAGAGTAAGACTGTAGGTTTGGAAACAATAGGGTAAATGGAGCCAAAAAGATTGTTGGAAACTTCAGTCATGAGTTCCAAGGTTGCCAGGGACATCTTTTGTTCAGGAAATCACAAGTAAATGTCTCACAAGGAGTTAAAAATTGTGGGGGGCACCAGCCGAAAGTGACAGCCATTTTGAAGGAATAAAGCACATGCCGTGTCTGAGAGAAGACCAAAGAATGCAGGTTTGATCTGGACAGAGAAGAAAGCAAAAAGCTACTTCTTAGCTCTAATAATACTTTGGGGGCCCTGAATTAAATACAATATTAATGGAGTAATTGACAATAAAGCTGTTTATTCAAAATACGGTCAAAACAAACCATGGTTTAACATAAGGTTGAACCCAGTGACAGAGCAAAGCCAATAATATGTCCATTTCTTCTCTCCATAACATAGTGAATGAAATCAACTGGTTTTTGGCCAAGTATTCAATCATTCACATCCACTTAAAAGCAAAAGCAAACTAACTATCCAGAGGTTTAATCTGGACCTTTTCTCCAAGGACGTCAGTCTGGTATACAGTTTTCTACTCCCAACTGTGAAGTTGTTCACAGGAAAGAGTCAATCAATGAGCGTGATAGAAATTTGGAATTCAAAGCCAGAAGGGGGGAACTGCAACCCCCATAACATCTAGCCAGGATTCTGACTTTGAGGAATCTAAAGGGCATTGGATAGACGGAACAAAATTTGGCATACTTGCTTGGAATCAGATAACTAGGAAAGGCTACTACAGAAAATCAACTAAATACTTCTAAAAATCCAGAATTGGCTTCACTATGCTCAGCTCAAGCATCATTTTATAATGGTATTATGGTAAAAGATTTGTCACTGTATTCTATTTCTTTTTAAGAAAAACTCAAGATACATTGTTTCATTCTCTGTGTCTCCTCTGAGTATCACACAATAATTAATTGCTGGTTTAAAAACAGCCAGCATGTTATCTTTGAAGTTTCCAGAATTTAATCTCAAAGAAATAGGCAACAGCAACAATAGATTGAGCAATGGATCTGATTCAATGTACATGACTTTCTATCAGCATTGCCAGAGGAAAGAGTCAGCAACACAAAGCTTTCCAGATGCTTTGAAGGCAACTTTCCTAATTTTTGATCATGGGCCATGTGGTCTCAGGTTCATAACTGACAACATCTCAGAAGCATCAGATTGGGGAAGGCAGATAGATGGTCAGGTATCATAACACCTTGCACATAATTAAACAATGAAATTATTCACCATTATACCAAGAACTGTGTCCATTTCTAACATGCCCTTTGTCTAAATTGCTTGGATGCGGTTCAAGAAATCTCCGAAAGTTATAAATGTAAAGAAAATCTAATGAAGTTTTCTTTTTCTGGTCCCCTACTGACATGTCATGGTACTTTTGGCTTAGTAAAATGATTCAACTGCATATTGATATCAGCTACATGATTCAACTGCATATTTTATCACACAGCAACCCTCTAAGGTAAGCTAGGCTAAAAAAAACAATAATTAGCTTATAGTTGCCTGGAGAGGATTTAGAACTGAAAAAAAGATTTGAACCTGTATTTCCCAAGTCTTCAACTTGCATTCACCTCTGTACCAGGAGGAAGCAAAATATACCTTCCAGGTGTTTTGGACTACATTCCCCACAATCCATGATCATTGGTTGATTATATGCCATCAAGTTGGTGCCAACTCTTGGTGATCACACAGATAGACTTTCTCCAGGATGATCTGTCCTCAGCCTGGTCCTTCAAGACTTTCAATGGCACATCTATCGCCACTATAATCACGTCCATCGATCTTGCTGCTGGTTGTCCTCTTCTCTTCTTTCCTTCCACCTTTCCCAGCATTATAGACTTCTCAAGAGAGCTGGGTCTTTGCAAAAGTATTCAAAATATGATAATTCGAGCTGATTATTTACGCTTTGAGTGAGAACTCTGGATTGATTTGTTCTATGATAACTGTTTGTATTTATGAGAGCTGACATCCAAAATAAAGGGTACAGCTTGCTAGATACTCAGTCAAGCCATGCTAGGTCTTGTATAAGTCACGAAGATAGGTTCATCTCTGAGTAATTCCATTGCTTTCTAGCATGCAAAGCAAATGAATTCTGAAGACCAGGATATCTGACTGAAGGCCAGCAAGTTTTGTTGTTGTTGTTAGTTGCAAAGAAAAGATCTGACATAGAAAATGCTGAATGTGATTAATTTCAGCCAGAAATAATCACATTTGGAAATATGAATGAAAATATCTTTTAATTGTTGTGTCAGATTGTGAACTGTGCACTGATGGGATCTCCAGCCCAGGGACTCATTTTATCTTCTGAGTCTACCAAGGTCAACCTGGTTGTCTTTTTGTTTTTGTTTTTTGCTGGGGGGAGGGCAGGTTTTGCTTGTCTATATATTGAAGATGACATACAGTTAAGTCCACCTTAGTTTATATTGCTTTGAAAAAATAGTGGGATTAAAATATTAGGACTACAAAAATGAATCAGCTCAGCCTTCAACTGAGCAACGACAGCCAATATTAAGTGATGAGATAGCAAGTGGTTTAATTTTTAAGGAAGCTATTATGGTTATGGTATGTTAAGGTAGCATACAATTTAAAAAATGAAACATAACATTCACTTCCCATAAATACTGGTAACTTTCATTAGACTGTGTTCCATGGCCCCTAATATCTCAAAAAGGCAGTGTCAGTTGATCCATGAGCTCTAGACTATCTACCAAATTTGGTTATCATGAGCCCATCACTCCCTGTCACAACAGTTTCTCTGGGTTTGTGGTGTATACCTGTACACAATCTAAGACATTGACTGCAACCTACGAAACTGTGCAGGATTTTGGACAAAGCTATTTGAATAACCCCATTCTCCCTTGAGTCTTTCAGTTTCCATCAACATGGAAAGCACTGTTGGTGGAAATAAGACAATAGCCACCCCCAGCACTGGGAATTTCTTTCTAAGGCTAAGCTGTTCTTGTTTTGTTTTATTGAAAGACAAAGAAGATTTTATTCCTTGGGTATTTAAGTCTAATTTACTGAAGATGGCTTCAACTGGAGAATGCTGTCTCATTCTTTTTTATTGGTGTGCTTTTTAATGATTTGCCACATTCCAGTTATACTCCTTCCCTCTGTATGATCCTACTGTTAGTCCTTCTGAGTTAAATTTTTTATCAGAAAGAGGGGAAATACTCTTAATGGCTAACTTCAATATATAAAACACCGAGATCACAGAGACATCCAAATATTGGTCTTAAAGGATATAATGGAGAACTCTGGCTTAATATTGAACCAGATGTGCATTCAGATGAAAAAGACAAGAACGATACTCTTCACTAACCCATGCTCATTGCTTTTTCAAATGTAAGCCTTCAGTAAACAACAAACATCATGCTTACTGCTGCAGAATATATTTTATAATGACCTGAATTGGAATATGAAGGACTACATAAGGCAGAACAAGTCCATGTGCAGTAAAGCAATGGGATGGGTCCAGGGTATGCTAGAGAAATACAGCCAGCTACCATTTGTAATGCAAAATGAAACTAAGCACAGTCTAAGATCAGAAGAATTTCCATTTGCTGCCTCAATAAAACTGAGCAGATTTAAGAGAGAAAGCAAGATCCATCATATACCTGGTCCTTAGCAAAACAAATCATTGTTCCCCACCCATCCCATGCCATAATGCCTCTTTCAGGGTTCAAGAGCTTCTAAAATAAACACTGCAACATTTCACCTTTATTTTTTCTTCCCATAAAATGCCAGGGCTTTTGTGTAACAGGCGCCACACTTGGATGGCAGAAGTGTGGTTTGCTGACCCAGTGGAACGCAGGAGATATTTCCATTCTTGAAGTCTATTGGAAAATGCTTCCATAAGTGATACCTTCCTCATACCATACCTGCGCTAAAATATTTTCTACCTTCACACTGTCAGAGAATCTTTGCAACAGAGGTCAACAGTCATTCATCCATGAGTGCTTCTCAACTGGAATTTCACTTCCGCATGGACCCTAATGCAAGGTGGCAGTATGGAATTATATATGCTGTCAGGACACACTAATGATGTCAGGAGCTCCAGGGCTGAAATTCTTGGGACGTTTGATGCATGGATGGTCTATATGGGGAATTTCATTTTGAAACTTGCAACATTTTCCAAGTGGAGAAATATTCTAAATAATAGATTAGTCTTACCCACCCACTGCCTCACCCTTGAATCGAAAAGACTATAAAAGACTTTCTACTTGGACTGATCGTCAAGATGTTCACCTCTCTGGTTCATTTCTTAGCTAAGCTCCCAGGGATTTCTTTTTAGCTTCCTGAAGCTCAGTCTTGAGAGGAGGGACATTTTAAATCTCTTCTCTGCATATAGCTTTGATAAATGTGTAGCTTCATCTCCTCCAATTCCTGCTCACACCACTAACAGATCCTTTAAATTATAGATTTTCAGTGAACTTGTGACCTCCCAACATGTTTTTAACCAGTGCCCAAATTGGCTAGGACTTCTAGGAGTCAGCACAGCAACATCTGGAGGGCCACAGTTTCCCCAACACTTGGTAGAGCAAATTAACTTTTTCAGTGTACTCTGAAACATGCATCTAACTAAAACTATATCATACAT